TTATGAGAGTTATCCTGGAAAGGGCATGGTCCTAGGGACAGAGTCTTAGGGACTTTTGCCTCCAAAAAAGAAATAGGAGTAAGCCTCCTTGAAAGGGCATGGTCTTGGGGGTAGAGTTTCAAGGACTCTTGCCTCCAAATTAGAAACAAAAGCAAGCCTCCTGGAAAGAGCATAGCCCTAAAGGTAGAGTCTCAGGGATTCCTGCCTCCCAATAAAAAATAGGAGCGTGCCTCCTAGGAAGGGCATGACCCTAGAGGCAAAGTCTCAGGGACTCCTGCCTCCAAATAAAGAATAGAAGCATGCCTCTTAGGAAGGGCATGACCCTAGAGGTAGAGTCACAGGGACTCCTGTCTCTAAACAAAGAGTAGAAGAATGCCCCCTAGAAAGGGCATGACCCTGGGAGCAGTCTCGGGGGACTCAGCCTTCAACTAAATGACAGTAGCATGCCTCCTGAATGGAAAATGACCCTGAAAACAAGCACTAATCGGATAGCAACCACAACTCAGGGAATCAGGGAGAAAAAGGACCATAAGAAAGCAGTTGGCGTCTAATATGGGTGTGATTACTCCTGTGTTCTTGCAAGCCTCGAGGTTGACCACTAAAGTATGCTTGCACAAGTACATGGGTAAGGGTGTCTTAGTAGGATATGAGAGGGTCAAGGGAAACCCCATCCCCTCGGATCGACCAACAAGGAAGATGAAGCTAACCGGAGTAAAAGTATACATCCCTCAGTGCCCTTGGCGCCAAAATCTCTCAAAGCCCTCCATTCTCGATGCATGACCTTGGTATTGGTACCTGTCGGGTTTGACAATGTTCGTAACGTATCCTTGGGGTCGGGGGGATACCAAGAGAGTACATCTAAACAATACAAGTAATGTCCTAAAATTCTATGTTTTTTGGCCCCAAGGATCAACACTTAAAAGGAGCACGCATACAAGAAGTTAGAGGTTTTTATAAGTTTTTGAAGTAAAGAGTTACAAACAAATACGCAAGGACGACAAAGGAACACGCATGAATCAAGAAAAGTCACTTTTCATTCCAAAAGAAGAGGGTTTTGCATCCCCTAGGCTACAAAAAAGAACAATACAAAAAAGAACAAAAGTACAAAGGAAATGAAAACCCAAGTCTAGGCAGCTGGAGGAGGATTGATCACTTCACCACCAACATCTCCAGCGGCATCCCCAAATGATTCCTCGATGCTGGGGGAAGAGATAACGTTTGTGGCATCAGTCTAAGAAGCTGGAGTAGGAGCAATAGTGACCGAAGGAACAAGAGGCATTGCCGACTCGGAAGCTGAAAGAACCGCCTCTAGGAGAACAATGGCATCTGGGACATCAAAGGGCTCCACTGAGGTCTACACTTGGGCGTATGATACATCTTTGGTAGCAATCTTGGCTGTAGCCTACAACATGTCCTCTGACAGCACATACTCGTGAAAAAGAAACAGAGGAGATTTAGGAGGAACCCCCATCACTCAGAAAGCCTCGTCCCAGCCCTTTTTAAAGAACTCTCATTTATTTTCTACAAGGGCAACCAAGACGTCATTGGCACATTCGTTGGCAATCTACTACTTTGTCTTCCTATTTGCCTTCATTTTCCCCCGGATCCTATCGAGCTCTTAAGTAAGGGCCGAGCAAGTCTGCTCTAACTCCTCAACCTTCGCCTATTCTAAGGATAATCGTTGTGTTGCCTTAGTAATCTTCCTCTTGGCGTCAGCGAGGGTTGGGCTTAACTTTTTAGCGCTAACCCTCGTCGACTCACCATCCTTCAGCAGCTGCTCAATTTGTGCCGCCTAGGAAGACAATGTGATGTCCCTGGCGGCCACATCCGAGGCAGGAAAGATTAAAAAACAAAGAATAGTAATTGAACCTACCACCAGGGAATTTTGGATGATTGAGTTGAATAGCTAGTTGGTCGTCTGCCCCCGTTGCTCTGCCATGTCAAAACCAAAGTGAAGTGTCTCACTCACGGCATAGGCCACATGAGGATCATGGATGATGGATTCGTTGACCCTGATCACTTTATTTTCTCAATCCCAGGTGTGAGGATGCCACTCTTCGACAGTTGCCAATACCAGAGGGGGAGAAGGAGTTTGCTGTAGTTGTTGTTCTTGTTATTGTTGTTGCGGTTGCTATTGTTGTTGCTACTGTGATAGAAGGGCCCTGCCTCAGCCCAGACCATTGTACCTTTATTTTGTCCTCTTCTCTTCCTCGATTAGGGGGTCCTAGTCACAGACTTGTCCCTGGTCGAAAGATCTCAATGGCACTAGGGGCAGATGAGGAGCATTGATGTTGGTCCTTTGAGGAGGTGGAGGGGCATTGTTGGAGGATCCCTTGCCCCTCCCAGCGGCCAAGTCGGCCCTCTGATTCAGATAGTTAAGATTGAGATGAGGCCTTCAAGACATGGCTACCTTAAGAGCGTTCTCATCTTCTAAACTCTAAAGAATATCAAAGTCAGGCCAAGCTTCCCTTCTCGACGTACTGGCCTCGGCCTGAACAATGGTGAAGGGCTCCCTGACTTTCGTTGTCTCCTCGGTGACCCCTTCTACCTTGGCCTCAATGGCCCTGCCAGGATTCCCCTCTAAGTTCTGCTCTAAGTCCTCCTCCAAGTTCTGCTGGAAGAGCTCAGACCACCTTGAGGGATCGTAGGGTTGGGGAAGTTGGGACAATTTCTTATATCCTGGAATGTAGTCTAGGAGCATGTGAGCTGCTCGGCCAAAAACATCGCCAATGTACCTCTAGACAGTGACAAGATCACCAAAATTGACCAAGTGTGGAGGAGGGGGAGTAGCTTCTCGGGAGGAAACGTCTTCATAAAAGAAAGAAGATCATCAAGACTCATACAAATTAATATTAGACAGCTAAAAAGCCAAGAAGAGAGGGAGAAGCCAACGTACTTGTTGTTCGCCACTCCTTGGGGTAGGACAAATCATCGTACTCGGGGCCGACCCCTCTCTCCCAGGCACCACTGAAGACTAGCAGATCATCCTTGTATCCTTTTTCGGAATCAGGAAGTTGGGTGACAAGGTACATGGAGGTGTCCCAGGCTTTGAGAGAGAAGTTTTGCTGGGGCATCACTCTCAGTAAGAAATAGCAAAAAAGGATGTCCTTGAGGCCTAGGTTGACCTTGAGGTGCCTATTAAGCTCCACCACCCCCATTGCTATTCTAAAGACATTAAGACAGCACTACTCAGGAAAAAGATGAAACTGAGACTGAGACAGGAACTGAAGAAACAATGGATGGAGGGGGAATTTGTTCCCGCCCTCCATGACAACCTTGGTATAAAATGGCATGGCACCCTTGGTGTCGACTTTGGGGCGATGACAAGCGAGGTTAAAATCGTCAACGCTGACACTGCAAGGGATGTCTTAATGAGCTTTGAAATTGGTTATTTGTTGGATGCCCTTGACCATGTACTTCCTTGGCCTAGAGGTCCGAGCTTCTTGGACCTCAACGACAGGGCGACGATTCCTCGACATTTTATGTAGAGAAAAGGGAGAATCCCAAGGGGTGTTCTCTAAAAATGGGGCTCCTAGGGGTGTTAACAGATGCTAAAATGACTAGGGAAGGCGATGGGGGCTTGGAAGGTGACCAGTGACCATAAAAATGAAAGAAAGGGAGAAAGGAAAAATGAAGGGAGTTGTTTTGTGCCCTTAAGAACCATGGACATGGAGTTTAGAAGGCGATGAATCGCCAAAAAAACAAAAAGGAAAAGGAAAGAGTAAAAACAAAACACTCACCAGAGAGAGGGAACGAACAATGGAGCTTGAGAAACGCTCTTCCCCTTCAAATGACAAACAAAAATGGAGGATTCTTCGAGGAAAGGTGGCAGCAAATTCCTGTGAGCTATCCGACTAAAGGTTCTTCGAAAATTGGGGATTCTGGTGAGTTTTTCGGCAAGAGAGTCTTTGGGGCAGTCAAAGGGTCATAAAACTGAAAAAGGTGGGAGGGGGCTCTGTTTATATAGGCTTTGTCCCCATTATTGTGCACGAGACACAACGACATACGCATTCAATGCGCATGATCCCTAAATGCGAGAAAATAGCTGGGGCAATGATGAGACGGTTGAGCCCTTTGACCTCCTAATGACACGTGTCCTCACCGTACGAAGATCAAAGGGTCGGGGATAGTTGATGGGACACTTCTGAGAAAAGGTAGGATTCAACCACATGTCCTCGACATCGAGGGTACGCCCCTGCGATGAAGGCCACATGCCCTCGGCACTTCTTCTCTAATATAAAGCCACGTGTCCTCGGCACCGAGGGCATGACCTCTCTGATAAGGCCAGGTGTCCTCGACATTGAGGACACCCCTTGCTCCCCGATGGATCCACGCATTCTACACAGTACTAGACTAGAGACCAGTTGTGGACATGTCATCTCTTCTTCTAGAAGNTTAGAAGGCGATGAATTGCCAAAAAAACAAAAAGGAAAAGGAAAGAGTAAAAACAAAACACTCACCAGAGAGAGGGAACGAACAATGGAGCCTGAGAAACGCTCTTCCCCTTCAAATGACAAACAAAAATGGAGGATTCTTCGAGGAAAGGTGGCAGCAAATTCCTGTGAGCTATCCGACTAAAGGTTCTTCGAAAATTGAGGATTCTGGTGAGTTTTTCGGCAAGAGAGTCTTTGGGGCAGCCAAAGGGTCATAAAACTGAAAAAGGTGGGAGGGGGCTCTGTTTATATAGGCTTTGTCCCCATTATTGTGCACGAGACACAACGACATACGCATTCAATGCGCATGATCCCTAAATGCGGGAAAATAGCTGGGGCAATGATGAGACGGTTGAGCCCTTTGACCTCCTAATGACACGTGTCCTCACCGTACGAAGATCAAAGGGTCGGGGATAGTTGATGGGACACTTCTGAGAAAAGGTAGGATTCAACCACATGTCCTCGACATCGAGGGTACGCCCCTGCGATGAAGGCCACATGCCCTCGGCACCGATGGCACTTCTTCTCTAATATAAAGCCACGTGTCCTCGGCACCGAGGGCATGACCTCTCTGATAAGGCCAGGTGTCCTCGACATTGAGGACACCCCTTGCTCCCCGATGGATCCACGCATTCTACACAGTACTAGACTAGAGACCAGTTGTGGACATGTCATCTCTTCTTCTAGAAGGGCCACTAATAGCTGTAGCCCATCAGTCTCAGAATTGGTCAACGAAATCATTGACTTGCCTTCTCATTAAGGTCAGAATGATAGAATAAAAAAGACACTCCACCATAGGGAGTCAGACACGTGGCATGACGTACAAGCTGAGGGGTGAATGGACAAAAATATCCTTGCTTAATGAACCCTTAGTTGATGGGACATCCACNGGGCCACTAATAGCTGTAGCCCATTAGTCTCAGAATTGGTCAACGAAACCATTGACTTGCCTTCCCAATAAGGTCAGAATGATAGAATAAAAAAGACACTCCACCATAGGGAGTCAGACACGTGGCATGACGTACAAGCTGAGGGGTGAATGGACAAAAATATCCTTGCTTAATGAACCCTTAGTTGATGGGACATCCACAATGGCTCTGGGAGCCTAGAAGAAAGAGCATTAAATGCTACAGGACCCGAGCATTAAGTGCCTCTACATTCAAGAAAGAGCATTAAGTGCTCAGGGGGCCAAGCATTTAATAATGGGGCTTCCCCCATGCAAAATAGGGGGCACACTGTCCCATGTCTGGATGCTACCTACTGCCTAGACCATCAGTAATGATGGGTCTTTGGAGGTATAAATAGTTCCCAAAAACACAGTGCCAAGGTATGCAAAATCACCCCTTAAGAACCATACAACGTTTTCTTCTTCCCCTTTCTCAAAGAACTGATTTGATCATTGGAGGGGATACGTCGAAAAATACTCTGGCNCCTTTCTCAAAGAACTGATTTGATCATTGGAGGGGATACATCGAAAAATACTCTGGCACCCTTCTAACCTATTTTTTGTGTGCCAGGAACTGCCTCCGACCCACTAAAAGTGAGCAGACAACCCCTGAAGCAATTCATCACCACTTTTTAGCCCCCCTTTGGCCCTCTCAATCCATTCCTTGTTACAAGATCCCACTTTCTCGATGACCACGAGTTCACCATGGGAGAGATCTGTCTTTTTCATATATTGTGCAAAAATCACCACACACATATATGATTANCACCATGGGAGAGATCTGTCTTTTTCATATATTGTGCAAAAATCACCACACACATATATGATTATAATGATATCATCTCTAACAAACTAACAACTAATTCCAATCATATGCCTAGTTGTCAACAATGTGCACTGATCATAAATTTAGTTTTATAAGTGATTTAGTTGTGGTGATTTGGTGACGAGCAATTTTATAACATACCCCATGCTAAGTTGCCTCTATTGTCTAGTTGTTACACCGATATAGCTTGAATAGGTTCTGTCTGGCTTAATATTATCCCTTAAACAAATTGGTATGGAAGTCACCAAGATTTTGTCCATTAATCAAAACAATTTTGATAATGATAGACCTTTCGTACCAACATTTGCAAGTTGATCTTCCCCATAATTGAATTGAACCTAGAACTCCTTTCAAGTAACTTTCTCTGGCATAAAATGAAATTCAATTTTGGCGTGTTTAGTCTACCGTTAAAAAATGGACTAGATGTAGAGGCTAATGTTGAAACATTGTCTNCAATTTTGGCGTGTTTAGTCTACCGTTAAAAAATGGACTAGATGTAGAGGCTAATGTTGAAACATTGTCTTAATATATGATAGGTACTTGAGAGAGGTTCATGATAAGAAAACACAAAAAAGTGTGAAACTAGTAAAGCTCTGATGTTATAGTGGTGAGTTATTTGTACTTAGCTTTTGTAGAGGACCGNAAAACACAAAAAAGTGTGAAACTAGTAAAGCTCTGATGTTATAGTGGTGAGTTATTTGTACTTAGCTTTTGTAGAGGACCGTGCCATTGTGGACTGTTTCCTCCTCCATTATATACGAATGGTTCCAAGAAACGTGATAAATCCAATAGTACTGATGTAGATCGTATTAACTCTGATATCAAATTGATGTAGATCGTATTAGCTCTGATACCAAATTGATGTAGATCATATTAGCTTATTAGCTTTGCTACCAAATTGATATAGACTAGGAAAAGAACGAAGTAGAGATGAAAATAGAAGAAGAAGAGATGAGAAAAGAGAAAGAATTTGATAAGGGAGCAATGTCAATATTCAATAATAATCACAGTCTAATATAAATAAAACCCTTACATGCATCCTTTTATATAGGGAAACTAAAACCCTAAAACAAATAAATAATGATAAATAAACTCTCAAAAGTAAAAAAAAATTACTTAAAAGATAAATATTAAAAGTATGTAAATTATNAACATTGTACACATTTTCTTGCTGGAATGTTATGGATTGTGGATTGTCGTATGTAAATATTTCATATGCATTTAGGTTGGGGAGTAGCCTCTTTAGGTGATACCTTATTGAGCGTGACTCACCCTTCGTGGGAAAATATTTCAGATGTGGGGTTCACACCGGCAGATGACTCCCAATTCGAGCCTCAAGGGNCCCCATCATTCTCCCTTAATTGAGAAAAAATCTCATTTGGAGAGTTTTCAAAGTAGATGTACCCTAAGAGAGTAAGATGAAGTTGATATAATGTCTCATCTAGAATGAAAGAACCATTGACTTATTTCCATCGACCAGGATAAATGCAAGAATCTCCATTTGTATGAACACCTACTAATAAAATAGGAGGCTTTGGAGTACCTCCNTGTGAAAATTCTATTTTGGTATGTAAATATAAAAGAATTGTAATCGAACTCATATGAATTGTTTTTAATATANGGAGGCTTTGGAGTACCTCCATTAAGTAGCATGTTGCCTGATGTTTTCCGTTGTATTTTCTAGTCTCTGAACATCTTCCCTCAATGTGTATGTATGATGTGTGTGTGAAGGAGAGTGTCACTCTCCTTTGGGATGATGTCAAAAGAAAGGGCAAGGGAATGGTGAAATTGAAATGTGCAAGTGAGCAAAAATGCTTCCCAAGCGCAAGAAGACTTTTGCGTGTCATTTTTTACTCGGAGGTATTCCAAGGTTGTTTCCTTGGGGAAGGTTGTGAATCGTTTTGAAAGTGATTTTTGATGAAGAAAGGTGTAAAATCTTGTGTAGTTGAAGTTTGGTTTGTGAGTTGTATTTTGATGAAAATGAAATGGAAAGTAAGTGTTGGTTAATCCAAAGGATTCACTCCAATGAGAATATCGAGTCAACTCAAAACATACCTCTAATGGTGCGTAAATGAACGATTGATTTATGGGAAGTGAGGGACAATATGGAAATGAGGATCCAAGCATAACCTGTGACAATTCCTACGGGATATCAAGGACTCACACTCCGGTCCACACTCAATCCAGTCAAACCGAACCACCGTACACCGGAGGGAGGAGAGGGGATGAGTTAAGATGGCATACCCAAGAGGAGGTCTCCCTTGGATTATCCAACTTAATGATTTATCTATTCATGCTTAAACGAAAAACAACAATATAAATGGAAGTGTAAAACCTGGTAAATTTAAGCTTTTGAAAATAAGGACAAAACGGTAATTTTATCGCTACCAGTACGGGTTGAAAACCTAAGTTTTTCTTGATCTCGAATGACAAAATGGATCTCACCGTTGGATTCTTCTTGCGAAATCTAGTTACCACGTCAAATTTTATCGAATTTTGAGATAGTCAAATTTTTTACATTTTACATGGCGGTCAAGTCTCGGGTGACCCAAAAATGAGATTTTTGGATAAAATTTCAAAATTTGAAAAATAATTAAATATAATTTAAAATAAAAATATTTTAAATTTAAATCGGGATGAAATTTAATCGTTTTGGGACAAAAACAGACTTGGGAAAAGAGGGTCGTATGGCACAATATAGACCAAGTATTCTAAGACTATAAATAGGGGTACAATCTGATTTTTTGCCCCATTTGTGTCAGCCGTTAGCCGATAGAAGAAGAGAGGAAAAGAGCTTGGATCCTCCACCTTCTCTCTACGATCTACGACATTCTGTCGCTCAAATCCACTCGGGCCAAGAGAAAAAGTTGATCTCCTCGTCAAGGGCTACGCCTACACACCAAAAACGAGGATTTTCACCGAAGGTTGAAAAGTAGGATTTTTGGGAGGAGAAGATTCGAGTTAGGAGCGAGTTATTGGGGACTTCCTACGGTCGTTCTTCACTCTTCAAGAGGTAGGGTTCCTTCCTACTTGAGTTTATTTACAACCTAGGGTGTAGTATGTAATGGGTATGTTGATAAATAGATTTTATTGTTACCTATGTTGTGGAAATTGATGAAATGAGTATTGAAATTGGGTAAAATGAAATTTTACCTTGAAATGGGTTGTGAATTAGACTCAATGTGATCCATGGAATTGGGGGTTATGTGGGCATGTTATGTGTTTATTGTATGCCTTGAGAATTAAGTATATTGTTAGCATATGTTATGTAATAACATGCTTGTGAATTGTTGTTGAAAATGAAATGTGGATATATGTTCATTGATATATAGCATTATGAGAAAGTTTGGTAATTACATGCTTCGGATATAAATTGCCTTGGAACTTGTTTGAATGTAGTTAATTTTGCTCATGTGGCATTCATTACATGTAGGTATGATGTTGAAATAGCAATGATGCATTACATTGCATATGCACGTAGACATTGCATTTTATGGGTGTGGGTGCATGGTTGTCATCAAATACCATGTAGGTGGATGATGGGTGGGCTCGGGGAAGGTGGATTGAATATCCGGCTAAGTCGCACGGTTGCATGAAAAAGAATTGGGTCGGGGTAGCAAGAAGGGCTAGACTATCCCTTAAGTGAGAGACTCGGTATTTGGATAAGCACTTCCGTTGGTATAAGAGCCCATAAAGTGTGTCGGTGTACGCAGAACCATTGGTGGAAGTCCATGAATTCCATGTTAGTTGGGTGACCGTTGGTGTAAGTCCATAAATACCCACCCCAAGAAAGACCTGGAGATTTTAGTTAGCCACTGGTTATGTAACACAAATGGCGGGGGGTTGGAAAGCCCGATTTTGATATTCACTGCATAGCATGGGATGAAGGTAAATAGTCGGAGCTAGAAAAGCTCGATTTTAATACACATTGGCATTGCATGTGTTGTGGAGTCGGGAAAGGCTCGGGTA